ATACCTACTCTTCTTCTGACTCTTCTTTTCCTTCCTCTTTCTTTTCTTTATTCATGTCATTCATTAACTTCTTGACAGATTTTAATGTTTTATTAAAAGCTACAGCACTTATACTGTCAGCGCACATTTTTGGAATAACACCACGATAACATCCAGAAATTCCATCCACATTTTTTATATATTTCACTGTAAAACAAGGACACAATCAAATATTTTGTATTGATTGCTAGAAAAATTAAAAAGTAATAAAAACATTAATTTATAATAAACAACATAGGAATACGAAAATAATTTATATATAATCCAAAATAAGATTTTAAAAGAAAAATCACGTACCATATTCAAATACATTAGGCAAAACCAGTGCCGGCCGTCTAAATAATGTGGTAGTTGGTCGTGGTAAAATCGGTTCATGTCCAATCTGTTACATTCAAACATAAATCTCCGGTTAGTTATTAATATGTGGGTAATTTATTGGTAATCTGTGTTTTACCTGCATTAATACTCTGGCATATTCAATTGGATGTGAAACAATATTAATCAAACGGCTAACAGTACCTACTAGTATTTGTTCATCTAACTGTGTCATATTTAATTAGAATTTCTCTTGCCTAAATACTAATGCTTCTAACGTGTTATTTACTTAACAATTTTGAATAAGAAGTGTGATTAAGCTTTAATTGTGGCAATGAAGCTTAAACGATACATCAAGGAGTATAGTCTACATCCACTTATATTTTTTCCATTCACAAAACATTAAACATATTGCATGCATTGGCAAACATAATACTTGTTCACCCAACTCTTGCTTGTGAGAGGCGTTTTGAAAAACGACATTCCCATCTATAATATGAGATTTCATGACTGAAATCATAGCTTTAGGCGTTTGAATTTTTTATTTAACCAAATTAAAAAAAATGTTCTGCTTTCAATGAAACAAATATAAATATGGTATTACGAATAATATTTATGAACTATAAACAATCTCACAAAATGCCTTCGACGCGCGTTCATTTATTTAATATAAGAATACAAATTTATCATTGTATCATACTTTCATACGAATTATTTTAACATAAAAATCGAAGATATTTTGATTGATTAGAAGTTAGAAATTTAAATAAATCGATTAGTATTTAATAAAATGGTCACGTAACCTGTAGCGCTGTGGCCTGCGACACAGAATATCGTGTCATAGACCGGAAATACTGTTTATCATAACATTTTCGTGTTCTATGATACACTAGATAGTAAAATGTGCAAAATAAATAGCATATTTATAAATTTTATAGAATTCGAAAGTCGAATAAATTATCAAAAACAAACCAATGTGAGATACATCAATGTTCAGCGTTATAGTCTCTAACTTGTTCCCAAAGAATATAGTTCACAAGAAAAAGAATAAAATTATTTATATGTCTTTTATTTTTTTGTTATTTTCAACGAAATCTCTTTATCACCAATCAAAATTAATGCAATAAATTTCAAAAGTTCCGTATCAAGTAACCGACAGCGCCGTCTGCCGAAGTAAATCGGAACACGATTTTTCTAGATTATTTTTCGTCATGGGTGCTAGTGATGTAAAAAGGTGTGTGTAAAGGATATCGTGCTGAGCTCATCTCACTATTTGTGATTCATCTGTTCTGGCTTCGATGGCAGAACTATGTGCGAAGTAACTGAGTGAGTAGTTAATGTGATGTTTTGTGAAGGCAATAACGAGGTGAGTCCTGATTATCTTTTGTGATTTTAACGGTAAAAATTCATGTCCGACATTTTTCCTCGTGGCAAAGGGAGATGCCGCTTTTTTTTCGTTCTATTCAGAGCAAACGTTTCGACGAACGTAAAGGACACCGAAACGACAGCGATTAAAAAAATGTTCAATCTAACTACGCGATTGAGATGGTGTACATTTGAAATGTTTCTTCGTATATTTAACAGCGAAGAAATCGAATTTTTCATTCGACAGAACGGAAGAAAGAAAATAATTGTCGCGTAAAAAAAACAATTGACAGGCAAACGTTACCGTTTCGAACAGGTTTATATCTATAGATAAATGTTTTGCAATGGAAACGAAGTTCCCTTACCGTTCTATTAACGCTTTCATAAGCGATCATGCACCCAGCGATTATTTATTTCAACTAAATGGTTGTTTTCTTTTTCGTGAAAACTGTTTTATCTTATTGCGTGATATGTTCCGTAATTGTAATCGCGCAATAAACGATGGTCACCAATCGTTCACGTTTAGCAAACGTAAATGAAATGTACTGTTAAATATGCATATATATTTTATTTGAAAACGTTAATTCTCTCATAGGCTTTTTGATAAAGGAAGCAATATTATTGGAAATGGTGAAATCAGGTATTTGAAGGAACATGGTCATATGATTTTTGTTTCAGAATGCCAATACAGGCACCACAGTGGACTGAATTTCTTTCTTGTCCAGTTTGCTGTCATGATTTTGATGTGGCCGTACGTGGCCCAATATCATTAGCATGTGGTCATACTATATGTCGTACGTGCCTTGCAAATTTACATCGTAAACAATGCCCTTTTGATCAAGTAAGTAATTTTATGAGTATATCATAAGTTTAAGTAGTATTAATACATGAAATTTGAAACAACTTTTGACAATAGTTTAATCGAATGTGTAAAATTGAGATATTGGTTACAAGTAATTTTTGTGTTAATTAATATGTTGTTGTTACATGTATATTTATTTTACCGGTGAGAAACAAATTGTTGATTCAATTTTTCAGAGTATTATCAACACAGACATAGAAAGACTACCGATAAATGAAGCTTTATTGCAGTTAGTCGGGAATTCTGTTCCCACAAATGTTGCAACAGCTTATCAGAAATTATTACCACCAGAAGACCATGCTAATTATTTGGCTGCTAAACGTTGCATTGAAGAACTTGCTTTATATCTCAAACCATGTCAGACAAATCCTACTCTAGCCGCAGGTAATATTAATTAGAATAGGGTGTTATTGTTAGTATTTTTGTAAAATGTTATATTTGGAAGGTATACCTTTGTCTGTCATTAGTAATGATAAAATTGCCATTCAGTGTATTTAATATAATTAATGTAGCAAAAGAAATTACAATTAAAAATTGAAAATTGTTTGATTTAGACAAATGTAGATTTTATTAATGGGAAAGTAGAACTTTCATCTTAAAAAATACTGAGTTTACATAATATATAATATTTAATATAGCTTTTAATATATCTTCTCAGTGTTATAAGAATTGTTGCATAATATTATGATATCCAATTAAAATCTTTGAAAATATAATTGAATTGATAACATAAGGTTCAAGTGTACATAGTATTCGTACAGAAAACAATTGTAGTTTAGTA